CACCTGTGCCCTGAACTTGAGGTGGAATGACAGGTGTCTAACCCATTACTTCCTGGTCCTTACAGACGCACCGCATGATGTCTACATCGGAGCGGACATTCTGATTCGCCTCAGGGCTCACGTGGACATGATCAATGAAGTGATATGGGCTCCAATGACCTCACAGTCACCCACAGTTCCTGTCAACCATGAGAACCTCCTGTCAGGCCAAACCATCCCTGAGGCCTGCACGCTAATCAATGAGAAAGAGACTGTAGTACCAGCTTACACCAAAGGGGTCGCTGTTCGACTCAACCTGCGAAGCGGCCAAACTCTCAGTCACACCCTAGGCTTCTTCCAACCTTCACCCGAATGTGGGGAACTGGGCCTCACTTTGGAAGCCACACCCCTCGTTGAAGTAACATCTCGGGCAACCTACATCTTGTTCAATAACTGCATGGCAACGGATGTCAGAGTGCCTAAGGCGTACCGTCTGGGTTGGCTAGTGAGCTATGACTTTCATGACTTTGAACTAATTCTACCAATAATTGGACCCATCTCAGATCCAATGATTCCAGAAGAAAGCTCAGGCCACACAGTGTTAACAGCACCCTTCAAGATCATCACCATAACCTCAGTCATGCCAGTAGTTACAAATACAAGGAATCATTTGCCAAGGACTCTTTAGATTGTGGCCTCACTAACCTCCATGTTGTGCGTGTCCCAACGCATCCAAAAGCTCCACCCACTTGTGTCAAGCAATACAAGATCCCCCTTGAATCATACGAACCCATACAGGAGATCATCAACTCTATGCTTGAGAAGGGTGTCATTCGTTCGTGTAACAGCACCTACTCTGCGCCCATCTGGCCTGTCCTCAAATCAAACGGCAAGTGGCGGCCAACCATCGCCTATAGGAAACTGAACCAACAGGTGCCATTGTCACGATGGCCTATGACCCAACTGGAACAGGAGATACCAAGAATCAGAGAAGCCACAATCTTCTCCACTCTTGATGTGGCCTCAGGATTTTGGACTATACCAGTGCATCCAGATGACCAACACAAGCTGGCTTTCACCTTTGGCAATCGGCAGTACACCTTCACCAGGTGCCCATTCGGCTATGCCAACTCACCAGCCGAATTTAACATCTTCCTCAACAAAGCATGCCCGGATGCCAGGGTAAGAGGGAACTTAATCCATGTTGACGACCTTCTGATGAAACACACGACGGTGACTGATCACCTGAAAGAAATTGACCACGTCCTGCACCAACTGACCGCCGCCAGCGCCAAGATTGCCCTCCACAAAGGACAATGGTGCAAAACCAAGGTCAACTACGTGGGCCTACTCATCGGACCATGAGGTATTGAGCCACAAACCAACCGCATCCAGGCCATTCAGAACATTAAACCACCTGCCAATGTCTCAGAACTCCGAAGTTTTCTAGGCATGTGCAACTATTCAAGGCAGTTAATTGAGAACTATTCGGACATTGCACGCCCTCTCACTGCCCTTCTGAAAAAGGACTGCCCCTTCGTCTGGACAGACAAACAGCAAAATGCCATGAATGAGCTGAAACGCAACGTAGAAGCACGATATGCTCAAAATCACAAGTCAGTGCTGGGAAACGGCCTGGCAGTCTGCCAAAGCTGCTCCGATGACACACCGACGGAGATCGTAGAAGCCGAAAGGCCCCAACTACCGCCACCTACCTGCCACAGGTATTTTGACGAGAATGTCTGCCAAGGAATGCCCACAGCCTACGTCGATGGATGTTCCTACAACCACAAGGGCATCCTAAAGGCAGGTGCTGGTGTTCTCTGGCTAAATGATCGACCTTGCCCACCACAACACTTCAAGCTGGGTCCACAATCATCGACATCACATGTGAACATGATATGATCGTCTATTGGAAGAAAGTGAAAGGACACTCAAAGCAACCTGGTCCAGACAAGGAACTCAACGACCAAACGGATGCCCTAGCCAAAGCAGGTGCAATCCACGGCGAGTTATGGTGGGTAGTGGGTAGAATGCCTCCCAGCACCCAATGACACTGCTCAAACTACAGCATACCTCCTGTTGAATCACATCTTCTCCAGGTTCTGGCTGCCGCTGAGAGTCAACTCAGACAGAGGCACCCATTTCACAGCTGAGATCATGCAGCAGATTTGGAAACTCCTGGGAGTACAAGCACAACTGCACATCAGTCACCATCCAATTTCTTCGGGCCAAGTGGAACGGACGAATCAGACGGTGGTCAGCAGGCTAAGAAAATATGTGTCTGATAACCAAAAGGACTGGGATGTGAAACTTCCCCTGGTGCTCATGGCCATCAGAGCAACTCCACATGAGTCAACAGGTGTGCCACCCTTCGAACTAATGACAGGCCGGCAAATGACATTGCCCTTGCACCTTCTGTACCAGCCAGGAGACTCCAACCTTGTCACCGCCTACACCACTCAACAATACCTTGATGAACTACACCAGCATTTGAGAACCACATTTGCTTTTGCCCAACAACGACTCCAAAAGAGTGCAGAAGGCCAGAATGCATACTACGACCAGAAGGCGTCACACAAAGAACTGGAGGTGGGCGACAGGGTCTGGTACTACAGCTAAGTAACACAAGTACAGTTGTGGTTAATTAATGTGAAATACTGCCATTCTTTTACTTTTCTCTCTCTTTTCCTTACTTTGCTTCATTCTGTATATATGTGTTTTGCTTAGTTATATGTTAGATATAGTTTCATTTATTAAATCCCTTATATTCACAATCGATTGCCTCTGTTTGCTGCTCACAATTCGAAGTCACTGAATGTTTGAACCCTTGCTATTACTGCTAGCACTGCATACAGAAGGAAAGCTACTTTCCTTGAATTGATAAATTATTATATTGTCTGCTCGGTGGACGGACAGATCAAATAACTGTAATATTGATTCTGCTACAGTTAATTCTAAGATCTAATCTAAATATTTATTATTAATCATAACCAGTTATAATTAGTCATAAATATTTCCCTTTTGAGCTGATTTACTACAATAAGAACAAGTTCAACCTGCAGACATTGGGAACAAAAAAGCAACAGACCGGCAGAGGGCAAAAACGACTCTCCACTGACTGGGATGACCACCAACTCATTTGAATGTCACTCAACAACTGTAGGATGACATCAAGTGACCTAAGAAAAAAAATAGCAAACAGCAGCTGGGGTGAAGTGCACGGCGTGGAACGTTTGAAACAGGCTCCTAGGGGTAGGGCAAAGCTAGAAAAAAGACATTCATCAATGAGAAGCAAAGAAGAGCCAGGCTGAGGTTTGCAAAAGACCATAAGGATTGGACCTTCTCTGATGAGTCCAATTTTCAGCTTTGCCCAACACCTGGTCCTCTAATGGCTAGACTGAGATCTGGAAAAGGCCTACAAGCCACAGTGTCTCACACCCACTGTGAAATTTGGTGGAGGATCTGTGATGATCTGGGGGTGCTTCAACAAGTCTGGAATCGGGCACATTCGTCTTTGTGAAGGGTGCATGAATCAAGTCATGTTCAAGGTTGTGCTGGAGGAAAACTTGCTTCCTCCTCCTCTGACAATGTTCCCCAAATCTGTGGACTGGTTTTTCCAGCAGGACAATGCTCTGTGCTACACAGCCAGGTCAATCAAGGTGTAGACGGAGGAGCACCAGATCAAGATCCTGCCATGGCCAGTCCAATCCCCAGACCTGAACCCCATTGAAAACCTCTGGAATGTGATCAAAAGGTAGATAGATGGTCAAAAGCCATCAAACTAGCTTGAATTTGTGCACCAGGAGTGGCATAAAGTCACCCAACAGCAATGTGAAAGACTGGTGGAGAGCATGCCAAGACACATGAAAGCTGTGATTGAAAATCAGGGTTATTCCACCAAATATTGATTTCTGAACTCTTCCTAAGTTAAAACATATTGTGTTGTTTAAAAATCAATATGAACTTGTTTTCTTTCCATTATTTGTCGTCTGAAAAAGGCATCTTTTTTGTTATTTTGACCAGTTGTCATTTTTTGCAAATAAATGCTCTAAATGGCAATATGTTTATTTTGAATTTGGAAGAAATGTTGTCAGTAGTTTATAGAATAAAACAAAAATGTTCATTTTACTCAAACACATACCTATAAATAGTAAAACCAAACTCTTAATTTTTTACTTTTTACTTCTAATTTGGTTTTGCTGTTGGGTTTTTTACAGCCTTGTCAAAAAGCATTGGGTGAAAAAGATGCACATTCTGCCAAATTCTGAAATAAGTGTTACAAAAGAAGGAAAAACCTCAGAGTTCGTTTTCATGTAAAGTAAAGTTTAAATAGGTGACAAGTACAATATATTTGATTTCCGATCATTTAAAACAATTCGTAGTTTGTAATCTGCAGCATTTGTGCAATAATATTACCCTAAAGAAATGAATTATGAGTTTCCATCACATTTACTGTCATTAGTCATTTTACATGTTTATAAATTGAGGATTACACTGTAGGCACACCTATCTGTCTTAGTGCTTTACTTTTCATTGTACTAATTGTATTTTCTTCCCTTCCTTGCTGAATGAGATTCTCACATCAAACTGAATAAAAGATAATATGTCACTTTCGGTCACACGTCCTAATTTGATGTACAGTAACAGATCTTATAACAGTAATACTAAGTGGTTTTATGGGAACGAAATTCAACACCCGCCTTGATGCAATAATTGATAGGTGAGGTTGTTAACAACAAATGCCATGGAGAACATTTTCAAATTCCCATTGAATTTTGCTACATTCATATGCATTGCATTGCATAAAATAAAATTCTGTTTGTCAGCTAATACTTTTGTGATTTTGAAAATTCACAGTGAATTTTCAGTTTGTACTTTTATGTTTTAAAATGTTACACACATGGTATAGGAAACATGAACTGAAACATCAGATTAAGTTACCGTTTTAAACACAATTCTTTTAAACATAAACCATGAATCCAGAACATTTAATCAGCTTTTACTGTGTTTATACTCACACAGGGTTAGATGTCACTGTTCCATTACTGAGATTAGGAGGCTGAACAATGGAGTCATTACTCTTCATAGACACACAGCTGGATACTGGAGATGCTGCTGTCTGTCTCATTCTGTTGATATAACTAGCAAAGAAGATTCAGGGACTGCATGCGTAAGAAAATGATCTGCAATATTATTATAATTCACTTTAGTTTCAGACACTAACAACATTGCACCTGGTGTTAGAAATCACTGTTCCATTACAGAGATTTAGAGGCTGAACAATGGAGTCATTACTCTTCATAGAGACAGCTGGATACTGGAGATGCTGCTGTCTGTCTCATTCTGATGATATAATTAGCAAAGGTTATTCAGGGACTGCATGCTGAAGAAGACAATCTGCTGTTACTATTGTTTGGTTTCTTGTTTCCAGTACTGACAACGTCTCACCTGGTGTCAGAGGTCACTGCTTCATTCCTGAATTCATGGGCTTGATACATTGAGTTCTCACTCTTCATAGACACACAGCTGGGCTCCTGACATGGTGCTCTCTGGTACTGAACATCCCCCTTACAGCTCTCCTTATCAACACTCATTTTAGAGATAGATTTCAGGACTGCAAGTGACATTAATAAATATCATATTTATAAAAACTGATAACATTTTGGTGTGCATGAATAATGTCTTTGTGGCATATACTATAACTAAATATTATAACCAAAATATGTTGCTTATCTTTTTCCTTGTACCGTTTAAGGAAGAGCAAAAAAAAAAAATAATAATAATAAATATATAAATACAATTTAAAAAAATTAAAATTGTCACACGCCTGGACTTTCTGTGTGTGTGTTTTGCTCCCCATGGTCTCCCTGTGACCCAGTTTCTCCCTCGTTTGATTACATTAATTTGGTTCAGGTGTATCTTGTCTATTCCCCTCGTTTAGCCCTGTATTTATAGTGTTGTCTGTCCCGTGTTTTCTGTCCGGTATTGTTTGTCTATACAAGTTCTACGTGTGTGTTCCTGCCTGCCCTGTGTTACCACTTGGTTTGTTTATTAAAGACTGTTTTCCTGCAACTCCTACGTCTCCGCGCTCCTCGCTCCTACACTGTAGATAACCGTGACAAAAATCTTAAAACTGGATTTTTCTTTTTATATAAGATGTGATAGACATGTGACGGTATTCAGTAATATGATATATCACGATAATGAACATGCACGATATTGTTACCGTGAGCATTTCAAAATACCGTGAATAATGATTTATTACAAATATTGTTTCGTTTTTTGAATGTATTTTAAGAATAATTTTTGCCTCAATTAGTTAAAATACAAAACACCGCTGTATGCTGCGTCAAAGACGCATGCGCACTTTGATGTAAACAAGTCCAACACGGATGAGAAGCGCAGGCGGAACGAGTGAAAGAGACGCACATTCACTGAGACTGTCGTCTACCGCGACTACCTCGTCGTCTAATGCAGCCGTAACCAACGCAGCTGCGCTACTTTCTGTTTTTGAAATTATTTAAACAGCCATTCAGATTTTTGTATTTGCAATGGTGTTCATCACAGCACTGAACACTTAGACTTAATAAGCCAAGTTAAAAAAAAAAATTCTCAAACTTTTTACATTTTTATCTGGACTACAACATGCCCTAGATTACATTTGTTTGTTAGTTAAAATAAACTGCCAATGAAAAATTATTCTAAAGCATTTATTAATCTTAGTTAATGTCAACATTTAATAACACGTTATTAAAATCAAAAATTGTACATGTATTTCATGTACCCTAGCCAACATTGTATTTTTTAACAAAGAATAATAACTTCTGTAACAAATGTAGCTATTGTTAATGTTAATGAATTAACTAAGGTTAACTAATGAGACCATATTGTAAAGTGATAGCTATTGTTCTTTATATATTTTTTCACTTTAATCTGTTTGAAGCATTTGTTTATTTTATACATTTTTGTGTATTTCTTTATTGGATTTAAATGTTCAGTTCTTTTTGTTATACGAAAAGTTATTGAACCTGTTACACTGTATTATAACAACACTTTTTGCAACTTATTTCAATATTGTATACCGTGATAAAAGCTTAAGCAATTATCACAACATGAACATTTTTTACCGTCACATGCCTAAGGATGAGTCATCATGCTAATATGACTCACACTTATTATCCTCTGCGAAATTAAGAGGAAGGTCAAGAATAAACACATGAGAGAGCAAACGAGAAATATGGTACAAAGACCAGCTAAAACCAGTTCACTTTTAGAATGAGGAAATCTAGAATTAGGAAACACATTTACATGTAATCATTAAACAGATGCTTTTATCCAAAGTGACTTACAAATGAGGAATACAACAAGAGATTCATCATAAAGAGACAAATAAACACAAGAAGTGCCTGTAATACAAAGTTTGCAGACATCGAATAGCACAAGCTAGAACAGGGAAATAGCTACAGTAACAAAGATAATAGCCTATATGTATAGATATGTAAATTTCCCACGCAGGCTTGCATAGATATGCCAAATGCCAACACATCTGTATCTTAGTTCTGTGTTTACCCATGAAGATTTGGCAGAATATCACATTTCCACTGTATAAATTGTTTCACTGTAGGTATTTTTGCTGAGATAATATCAGCCAAGTGATCTGTTAATACTGAACTTACCATGAAATTATATGATCAGCTTCTTCTGTGTCTTTTCATCAACATGTTGAATTAAACATCTTTCTGTTTTAGTCTGAGTTTGGTCAGCAGGCATTCAGAAAATTGCTTCACCCACATAAATCCCGACGTTTGTCAAGTACTCACCCCACCCACAGGTGCGTGCAACTTTGGTTTCGGCTCGCCTTACCGATCTGGGAGATATGCTAGTTGAGTCAGGGGAGGAGCTGAAAATGGAGTAGTCAAGTCGGACACCTTTTGCTTCCCAGCACTCGCACGGTGCTTTCTTTAGTGCAGTCAGGGTGGATTAGATGTAACATTTGTCAAATGAACAGACATTTGAATTCTACATGTGACAACCAGAAACACATTTCACTGATGTACTTAATGCACCGCTGCCTGTAAATTAAAAAGTTCAAGATAAGCCATGTTACTTAAATACCGAGTGAATCTATAGTTTTATAGTATATTTATTTTATTTTGATAAACATGACACAATATATTAATGTTCATTGGCGTCATTGTGTCGTGGGGACACCATTCTTGGTTCCCAGAACGTGCTCATCTGCATTTTTAAAGGTGCTATATGATGTTGTAACCACTAGATGTCACACGAGAGCTCAGCAATCCGCATCTCGGACCGAAACAAACTCCACTCCCCCACGATTATGCTTATGCTGTATGCGTGTATGTGTGATTGCGTGTTCGCTGATACCAGACCATAATTAGAAAGGTGTTTGTGAGTGCATTGCTTGTCTTACCAGAGAAGATGTTTGCGTGTTGCCCCCTGGACGTGGTGCCCCTTGACACTTGCCCGATTGTCCATACAGTTAATCCACCTATAGTTTTTGATGATTCTATGAAAGTAAAAATCATATAGAGCACCTTTTTTTTTGGTTAGCCAGGAAAGTTCTCATAACAAAAAAAGAGAAAATTATTTTTGGGTTTGTTGAACGTTCCCCTAACCTCTGACCTGCTCATTTACTTTGCTATACATCAATAATCATCCAGCACTCCCACGACCCTATAGCAGGGGTGCCTGATCCTGTTCCTGAAGATCTACTTTCCTGCAAAGTTCAGCTCCAAGCCTGATCAAACACAACTGAGCCAGCTCATTACGATCTTCAGGAGCTCTTGATAATTACAGACATGTGTGCTGGAGCAGTACTGGAAATGAACTCTGCAGGTAGTACTAGCCTATACAAACCATTTTTGTTTTGATATATTGTTTAATGATTCAAAATTAACTCAACCACATCAACTATCATATGGAGGATTAAATAAGATAGAATTTTTCCATTAATATGTAAGATTTCCAAGAACTATATATTTCATTGTACCACAATAAACCAGATTTTATGGGGGGTTTTTTAAGCACCAAATAACAGTGACTTCAGAAAAAAATCAATATATATATACAGTGGTGTGAAAAAGTAAGATAGAATTTTTCCATTAATATGTAAGATTTCCAAGAACTATATATTTCATTGTACCACAATAAACCAGATTTTATGGGGGTTTTTTTAAGCACCAAATAACAGTGACTTCAGAAAAAAATCAATATACAAAACGTTTTCACACCACTGTATATATATATATATATATATATATATATATATTTGACTTTAACTACAATAACATTAGGTAAGAGTGGGGCACAACCTAACTCTTTTTTGGCCTTCTCAGTTTTTGTAAATCTACTGTTTTGTTTTGTTTTGTTTTGTTTTACACATTCATTTCACACGTCTAGTACAAATTAAGTAATGTCTTGTTTCATTAATGCATTGTGTAATTTGTCTTTATTTACTCCAAAGGAATGGACAGAATGGGTTCAATCTACAACTGTCTGGCGGCACCTGGCAATCCACTTCAGTGGCTCCTATATGTATATAAAACAAACTAAAATATTTTATCTATTAAAGACAATTAACCTTTTCATATAAAATAATGGCATACTTAGTCATTAAAAATAAACAAATTTTGGTGTTTGACAATGAACACACCACAAAATATAGCTATACAGCATTGGTCAAAACAATTATCTCAAAACAGTATATACAGGTGCATCTCAATAAATTAGAATGTCGTGGAAAAGTTCATTTATTTCAGTAATTCAACTCAAATTGTGAAACTCATGTATTAAATAAATTCAGTGCACACAGACTGAAGTAGTTTAAGTCTTTGGTTCTTTTAATTGTGATGATTTTGGCTCACATTTAACAAAAACCCACCAATTCACTATCTCAACAAATTAGAATACTTCATAAGACCAATAAAAAAACATTTTTAGTGAATTGTTGGCCTTCTGGAAAGTATGTTCATTTACTGTACATGTACTCAATACTTGGTAGGGGCTCCTTTTGCTTTAATTACTGCCTCAATGCGGCGTGGCATGGAGGTGATTAGTTTGTGGCACTGCTGAGGTGGTATGGAAGCCCAGGTTTCTTTGACAGTGGCCTTCAGCTCATCTGCATTTTTTGCTCTCTTGTTTCTCATTTTCCTCTTGACTATAGATTCTCTATGGGGTTCAGGTCTGGTGAGATTGCTGGCCAGTCAAGCACACCAACACCATGGTCATTTAACCAACTTCTGGTGCTTTTGGCAGTGTGGGCAGGTGCCAAATCCTGCTGGAAAATGAAATCAGCATATTCAAAAAGCTGGTAGGAGGACTTTGGACCACTGGGCAACAGTCCAGTTCTTCTCCTTAGCCCAGGTAAGACGCCTCTGACGTTGTCTGTGGTTCAGGCGTGGCTTAACAAGAGGAATACAACAATTGTAGCCAAATTCCTTGACACGTCTGTGTGTGGTGGCTCTTGATGCCTTGACCCCAGCCTCAGTCCATTCATGTTGAAGTTCACTCAAATTCTTGAATCTATTTTGCTTGACAATCCTCATAAGGCTGCGGTTCTCTTGGTTGGTTGTGCATCTTTTTCTTCCACACTTTTTCCTTCCACTCAACTTTCTGTCAACATGCTTGGATACAGCACTCTGTGAACAGCCAGCTTCTTTGGCAATGAATGTTTGTGGCTTACCCTCCTTGTGAAGGGTGTCAGGGATTGTCTTCTGGACAACTGTCAGATCAGCAGTCT